CCTGGACCAGAACCTTGCCAGTCTCTTTGCTGAGCAAAAGATGCGCATGCAGGCCCGGCGAGATGAGAAGAACAAGCTGCAGAAGGAAAAGGCGCTCCGGCGGGACTTCCAGATCCGGGTGAGCTTGTGAGCAGTGGCGCCTTTGCACCCCCTGCACATGCTCCCACACAGGCTGACCCTCCCATCCTCCTGGCCACAGGTACTGGACCTGATAGAAGTGCTGGTCACCAAGCAGCCTGAGAGCCCCCTGGTCTTGGAATTGCTGGAACCCCTGCTAAGCAGCATCCGGCGATGCATGCGCAGTCGCAGCTCCACCAAGCAGGAGCAGGACCTCTTACACAAGATGGCCCGCATATTCATGTGAGAACTGGGGCAGGGAAGAGCCTGATGCACCCCAGGCCGTTTACTCTCACATGCTGCTCTGCTCTGTGGAATGCACCACAGTTCTCTCGTAGTCCTCAATTCCATCCTTCCCTGCTCTCAGTGTCAGGATAATTGAGAAACCGGACCAGGGACAGTCCTGTTGGAGCTGTGGGGAAGGGCGGGTGGGGGATCCACGCAGTCCTGAGAGGGAGCAGCTGTATTGTAAGATACTACAGAGTGAGTGGGAGATTAGAAAGGAGTTGGACAAAGGCAGCTGCAGCCAGAGCATCAGGTGAGCAGTGAGGGGAGAGCATGGGTTGGGAGGGGCTTGGTGAAGTTTTGGAAGCTATCCTGCTAGAGGCAGGATCTTGGCAGCACCCAGATGAACACCTGCCTTCCAGAACATAAGAGGTGGGAAGGCCTAGGAACCTGCTTCCCCCAATCCAGAGCCGAGAGAGGGTGGGGCATCTGCTCCATAAGTTTCTTCCAGGTCCAGATCACATCTGCTTGGTTAGTTCAGCCACTGTCTGTTTCCCTGTGGTTTTGAACATAGAGCCTGGTTTCATTTCATAGAGATTCCAGAAGCCATTGTCCCACAAGTGACAGGTGTAGACAGGACATTCAGGCCAGTTCAGGGGTGTCTGTTTCCTCTGAAATGAGCCTTGGGTCATTTGATATGGGTTTGGGGGCTTGAACTCATGGCCTGGCCCAGAGTTTTTCATTCAAGGCAAGTGCTGTATCACTGAGCCATAGCTCCACTTCCAGCTTTCTGGTGGTTCATTGAAGATGAGAGACTCACATGGTTTTTCTGCGTGAGTTTGCTTCAAACCATAATGCTCAGATCTCAGGTTTTCCTGAGTAGCTAGGATCATAGCTGTGAGCCATGGTGGGAGAATGTGCTGACCAGCTCTGCCTCTCCCACCCTATAGGCACCACCTGTGCCGTGCCCGGCACTACTGCCATGAGGTGGACAACTGCACAGAGGCCCTGCATGCCCAGGTAGAGCGGCTTGTGCAGCAGGCTGGCCACCAGGCCGACTCTTCTGTTGCCCTCTACTACTTCAATGCCTCACTCTACCTGCTGAGGGTCTTGAAGGGCAACACTAGGCAGAGGCACTTCCCGGAAGAACAGAAACGGCCCAGCTCTCAGCCCAAGGAACCACAGGTGAGTAGGATATGGCCTGGAGGACTATGGAAAGGCAACTTAGGCCCTGCTCACTGCCTCACCCAAGCTCTCTCACCTGGCCCAGGCCACCAACTGCTTGGACTTGAACTTCGTGACATCTGTGTACTCAGCAGCACTGAGCACCTTCCTGACCAAGCGCAACAGCCCCTTCACCGTTCCCATGTTCCTCACTCTCTTCTCTCGGCATCCGGTGAGTGCCAGGCCAGCCTGCCTCCCTGGGGGGCCCTGCCTGCCCCGGCCCTCCCCTCATGATTTCTGCCGTTCCCCCTCTAGATGATCTGTAAGAACCTGCTTCCTCTCCTGGTCCAGCAGGTGGGCAGCTCGGCACGCCCCCGCCATCAGGTAAGGGCCCTCATCTGCTAGGGTGGTCTGTGTGGGCACAGAGAAGCTAAGAGGGGCAGGGCCAGCTGGGCTCCACAGCCACCGGTTCTTATCTGGTCTGAGCTGTCTACCCAGTTTAGTTAGGGATTCTTGAGAGCTTATCTCTGACTATGTCTGCTCAGGTGCCGGGACCAGGCAGGTTGGAGGGAGGCAGCACTAAGCCAGGCAAGAACTGTTTCAACCTGAGGTCCTACCCTGTCCATTTGGGATCCCTGCTTGTCTCCCAATTATACAAACACAGCAGAGAGCTCCTCACGTGCCCCCTAGAGCTCTGGGTGTCAGGCAGCTTCTTGAGTGCTGGTGGGTCCCTGAGCCTTTTGGTGATCTCTTTTCTCATTGCAGTCCCAGGCCTGCCTGCTACTACAGAAGTCCCTGTCCGCACGGGAGCTGAGAATATGCTTTGAGGACCCTGAGTGGGAGCAACTGATTGGCAAGGTCCTGGCAAAGGTCATTGAGGTAAAGATTATGGAACTCCCTCCTGCCAAATACACATGATGCTCTGGGAACCAGGAGCCAGATTGCTTGGAACCTGAGCCTCTAGCATGGGCCCTCTGGGCTTTAGTCTCTTCTGTGGAGAACAGAAAGGCCTTGGGCAGCTCTCCAGAGTGCTTCAGCCTGGCCTTCTCTTCCTAGGCCCTTCGCACGCTGGGGGAGGCGCAGAGTAAGTCGGAGCACCAGAAGGAGCTGTCCTCCCTGGAGCTGCTCAACACCCTCTTAAGGACAATCAATCACGAGGTGAGACAGCAGCCATGCCACTACTGCCTTGGGAGGCAGGGGTGTCGCGTTGGGTTTTACTCAGAGACTTCTGGGGGAGAATTGGGGCTTCCATGGCTAGAGGAAGATTAGCTGGGAGCTATGCAGGGGAGGTTGTGTGTGCCAGGTGAGGAGTCCAGACTGTTTACAGTTCAGTGATGGAACCACCATGTACATGGTAAGTGACTTAGGAGGGTTACATTTGCCCTGCCACTGGTGTGAGGTATGTTGTTACTGAAACTCCAGTAAGAAAACTGAGGCTCAGAGGCTTCAAGATGATCTCACATGGGCAGCAATTTGGAAGGAGGCCAAGAGGAAAGGTGGAACATGGAGGCCAGTTCAGGGGTTGGGGGGTGAGGTGCTTTTGCATCTGGCAGCAGGGAAGAGTCTGAGAGCCTTTGGCATAGACAGACACTGGTCAGAACACAAATGGAGGATGAGCCTGGGCCTTGATCAGTGCCAAAGGTGTGTGTACAAAACCTTGGAGAATAGCACAAGGCAGAGAGAGCTGAGAGGCAGTCCTTAGCAATGAAGCCAGAATGGGAACCCTTGAAGCTGGTGGAGTTTGGGGTTTCTTTGGCAGGGAGTGGGGCTTGGGCTGGGTTTTGTTTTGTTTGCTAAGTCTTAAGCTTGAACTTAGGGTCTGGGCACTCTCCCTCAACTTTTTCTGCTCAAGGGTAGTGTTCTGCCACTTGAGTTACAGCTCTACTTCTGGCTTTTTAGTGGTTAATTGGGGATAAGAGTCTCAGTTTTTCCTGCCTGGGCTGGTTTTGAACCACAATCAGATCTCAGCCTTTTGGGCAGCCAGGATAATAGGCATGAGCCACTAACACCCAATTACTGGCAAGTTTTAGAACGAATCCAGTGAGTACTTGACAGAGAGGGAAAAATTAAGGGGGTGAGTTTGGTAACCCCAAAGGAACTGAGTTGTGCCCTCAACGGATGGATGGGTAGAGCCACTGAAGGAGGGAAGGGTAGGAAGCAGACCAGGTCTCCACTATGGGAAGGAAACAAACACTAGGAGGCTTTTGTTTCTTCTCCAGAAAAGAGAGACTGGGATTTAGAGGCAGGAGTGTCTGAGGGCCACGGGAGACGCAGCATCTGGGCAAGGGTGGGAAGACTGGGGTCCCAGAGGGTGCAGTCTGCCGTCATCCCTGAGCTCCTGCCTTGTCCTCCTCTACAGAAGCTGACTGTGGACCTGACAGCTCTCCTGGGCACACTGCAGGGGAAGCAGCAGACCCTGAAGCAGAGCTTGAAACAGGGGAACCATTCTGCCGGTTCCAACCGTCTCTACGACCTCTATTGGCAGGCCATGAAGATTCTAGGCGTTCAGTATGTTCTAGGAGATGCCTGCACACTGGGAGGGGCTGTGGAGACCCCTCATACGTACCACACACACTCCAGTGTGTGTGCACAGGGGTGGGGGGCCGTGGGTGCCTGGAATCTTGCAGGACCTCTGGTGGAAGTGACTCCTGCCCTTTCTCACTGGCCACTTTGACCTTTGACTTCCAGGCGCCCCAAATTGGAGAAGGAAGCCAAGCCCAATGAAACCGAGAGCCCCGTAAGTATGAAGCGCAAGAAGAAGGGATTCTTGCCTGAGACCAAGAAACGTAAGAAACGCAAGGCAGAGGACACTTCAGCCGAGGAAGTGGTGACCCCACCTCCAGCCACAGCTGGGGACCAGCCTCCCAGCACTGGCAAGAAGAGGAGGAGGAAGAAGATGAAGGCCAAGGATTTGGTCTCATCCCCAGAGACACCTGCCACCAAGAGTCCAGCCCTTGACACCCCCACCCTGAGCCCCAGCACCCCTGTCAACACCCCTGCCAAGACCCCAAAGCTGCAGAAGCAAAAAGAGAAGGTGTCACAGGAGAATGAAGCCTCTCCCATATCCCCCACAGAGCCCGCAAGCAAAAAGCAGTATCAGAAGGCTCTGCCCAAAAAGGGGGTCTTGAGCCCAACCCCACAGTCCTCTGTGCCACGGAAAAAGGCACGCCTGTCTTTGGTTGGCAGGAGCCCCAGCCTGTTTCAGAGTGGGATGAAAAAAAGGAAAGTGCTGCAGAAGAAGGGGACACCCTGAGTGCAGCCTGCCCTCCCCACGCCTCCAGTGGTCCTACAGACTCCTCTATTTTTTTTCCACTATGATTTTTAATAAACCGCAGCATAAGGCACCAGCTTCTGGCTCTGAGCAGTGGGTCTATTGCCCAGCCTGCCCTGGTGTTCCAAGCTGGTAGGAATCCAGCCTCTGGCATTGGGCAGGTGAGCACAGGTTGCCATGCTGGCCCTATATAGCTATCCTGCTCATCACCAGGCTGTTACACTGATTTAAATAGGTTTATTTCTTCATTTACAAGGAATATATTTGGCTTCTCTCTTAAGACTCTGAGATTCACAATCAGCAGCTCTAAAAAATAAAGGAGCGGTTTGGCTTCCGGAAGGAAGAGGAGGCAACACTTGGACCTGGTTCTTGTACAACAAGAAAACATTGCTGGGGCCCCAGTGGAGGCTGGGGTGAGGTGGGGGCCCAGCTGGTCTTTGAGGGATTCCACCCCACTCCTGTATCTGGCCCCCAGGGTGCCCCAGACCTTGGTGGGGTGGGTAGTCCACTAGCTAACACACTGAAGCCACAGCCAGCCAGTAACTAATGGGCAGGCAAAGGAAGCATGAGGGTCTCCTGTGGGCCACAGCACCCCGGGGCTGGAGCCACCTTGCAGCAAATGCTTAGGGACTATGGAGAAGGGATAAGTGCTCCCAGGGGGCAGGTGGAAGCTGCCCTGATGTAGGGATTGGGGAGAGGTTGAAGAAGTGAAGACCTGACCCCATGGGTCAGCTGGGAGGAGTCAGCGAGGCTGGACCTCCTTCAGACTCCTGCCTCGGCCCAGGAACAAGTAAGTCCCTGGCCCTTCCCAAAATGCAGGCCAGCCTGGGAGAGGGCGTGGCTTGTCTCCTGGGTTCACTAGGAAGGTCAGTAAAGGTGCTGTAGGGACCAGAAGGAACCTCACCTGAACTGTGGGTGATGCTGGTCCCCACACAGGACCTGGCAGTGGCCCACAGCCCCAGGTTGCAGGGACACGTCCTCCAGGGGCCAGCCAAGCCAAGACACACCCCATGTCAGATACTTCCACAGGAAATGAGTCCTGCTCCGTGTGCCAGGTTGAGTGATGTCCTCAAGGTCAGCAGTCCCTATGGGCCAGGCCCTTTGGATGCCTCAGCACCTGACCTGTGGCCCTGAGACCTAGACCATCTCTTCTCTGTGTCCCAGGATCTGCCAGGTCCTCAAAGCCACAGGCAGTGCCCCGTACAGCGTGCAGTATAGGGAGGTCCGGACCCCGGACCCCACAGCCTAGGGAGGTCAGGGGGTTACCCAGGATTACAGAAGCTGATGGCAGGCCAGGTTCTCCCCACATACCCATATGGAACTGTCTTCTCCCTTGGCCCCAGGGACTCTGCAGCCCCAATTTAGGACTGAGAATCTGTCCAACTGTATGACTCCAGCACACATAGCTTTCCATGTTAACTGGAGGCGTAGCTTCTTGGAGCCACGGCCTCTTAGCAGTTCTGGGCCAGGGTGGGGTGGTGCCCAGCTGTGTGTCACACAGAAAGCTTTGGGACAGCCCCGTAGGTCCAAAGTGCCCAAGGCCACTTTCCAGTCTAGGTACAAACACGGGTGAGGCTTCATCACTGTCCCAGCGGCACCTAGAAGAGGAAAGTCAAGTCAGAGGAACTTTGGGGGCCATTCCAAGGTCCCTCCTGCTCTTCCTTGCTCCAGACCTGGCTCTGGGGGCAGTGACCTTGATCTTGCATTACAAGGAGTCTGTTTCCCAGAGGCCACAATAGGAATGAGCCCTGGCACCTCTTAAGAGGGGTGGAGAGGACAGCCCAAGGAGTTCCTGGCAAGTACTATCCCTGACGTGACCCCAAACCTTCCAAGGAAGGGGGAGAGCCAATTTATTGGGAAGCAACAGGCTTTCCCAGCATAGCTAGGTCAGTAAGTTCTGCAATGTTTTAGGAGGAAGAAACCAAACCCAGAGTTGGCAGAACTCCGGAGGGGTGATCCCTGGCTCCTGGCATCCTGGCCCTCCCACTATTTGGGCCTCCCCAGCCTGAACTCACCACCTCAGACTTTCACTGATGCAGGAGGCATCACCAGCTGGTTCACCCTGGGGGAGAGACGGGCAGGGGTCAGGGCGGTGCATCAGCGGAGGCCGGGCCCAGGCACGGCTCTGGCACATTGCATCGCGGGGGCTGACTGACCGGAGATGCTGGGCAGGGACCTCGTCAGCCCCAGGGGGAGGTGGGAGAGCCCAGGGGTGGGGAGGGAGAGAGAGAAAGAAGAGTAAAGAAGAGAAGTCAGAGAATGAGAAGAAAAGGAAGGGGGTGGTCCCAATCCTAAAAACCCTTAACTCTAGAGGAAAACATTCATCTAAAACCCTATGAATGGGCCTGGCATCTGCCAGCCCGAGCCACCATGGGCTGGGCATGTGACACATGCTGCGACCTGGGGAAGGCCTAGGCACCGGCATAGGTGATGTATGTCTGCTCACATGCGTGCATGGGCATAGAGTTGGCCAGTGTCCCCCACCCTCACCGCAGGGCTTGACAGGGTGTCAAGGTGGTAGGCCCACCCTGCCCCACTCACTGCTGCTCAGCCTTGGCACGGTCACTGAGGAAGAAGAGGGCGGTGGCGAGGAAGAACATGCCGCCCAGGACCACCACGAAGGGGCAGAGCATGAGGGCATAGCCCAGGCTCAGGAACTCCCAGAGTGGAGAGTCCTTGGTGCTCTGGCGGATCAGGTCTGAGATCTGTGGAGATGAGGTTGGTAGGCATCAGGGCAATGTCATCTCCTAAGCCCCCAGCGCTCCCACCAGGCCAGCCCCACTGCAGCCACTCACAAAGCCGATGAGGTAGGGGCTTCCAGCATCCCCCAGCAAGTGGGAGGTGAAGCTCTGTAAGGCCACCGCGGTGGCCCGTCGTGTGGGGATGACCACGTACTGTAGGAGGAGACAGGTCAGTGCAAGGTCCCAGGCCCACCCAGAGCCTCACAGTACCCACACTCCTCTCCACCACATCCAGTCCCAGGGAAGACAACCTGGTGTCCACTGGTTCCATCTGTACAGGCCTTCAACCCAGAGCTGTTCTGTCAGCGCTGCTCTCTCCCTGAGACCTCTCCCACTGACTTCTGGTGGGGAGCCAAGGCCTGTGATCCAGGGGACACTGAGGCCCAGAGAAGCATTATTTCTTTTCCATCTTTTCCACTCTTCCTAACTTCCCTCTTTTTTTTTTTCTTCAGAGTCATGCTGCATAGCCTAGGCTGGCCTTGAACTTGAGATCCTCCTGGGAAGACTTTATTTTTGAGGGGTCATCCATGAGAGCAGTAGCTCTGGAGCTGCCTCTCAGGTCTGTCAGCCCTTGCCCTTCCTTCTCACAAATTAAATACCTGCCTTGGCTCCCCTCCATGAGGACCAGGCAAGGCCAAGGCTGGCCTAGAGGACAGGGTTTTGAAACAAAGCCCTAAAGGAGCCTATACTTGAACCTGTGAGCACTCTAGCCCCACATGCCAAGAACTGCTGGACCCCAGAGCCCCATCAGACTAGGCTGGCCGTGACCTTCCTTCCCCAATTCTTAGTCAGACAAGAAGAGTTAGTCACAGCCCCAAGGTGCACCTGCCTCCAGCAACCTCATAGATGCCAGCCATGGTGGACAAATGGCAATAGCAGCCAGAGCCCACAAGACTCCACACAGGGAGCAAGGATGGAGCGATCTGGATCAGATGAGATTATGTGGCCCCGTTTCCAGCAATAACTAGTCACTTAGCTTTTACACTTCATAAACTGGGACACGATTTCCCTGGACTATACGCTTTGAGCAGCCATCAGGGGCTAGCCAGCATCCAGGGCCCTTGACTCAGAGTGCTCCCCTTGATTCAGAGAAGGGTTGACCTCACCAAGCCCCAGAGTCACCCTCTCCCTCTGCCCCCCCCCCCAACTTCCATCCAATCTACCATCCCAGATCAGGAGAAAACATATAGGAAAGGCCAGGCAAGGTAAGGCAGCCTCCTGAAGCAGAGAGGCAACTAGGGTTTTCACAGATTCTGACCACCTGGGCTATTTCTATATGTTCTATATCCAACACCTCCCTCTACCCAGCACCTGAGCATCGTTCCTCCCCAATCCCTGCACCTCCTGACATGCTCCAATGCCCGATTCTCCTAAAGCTGAGGGTCCTGAAGAATCAGAACAGGAGCCACACCCAGCCCTACCATTCCTACCCCTACATGCCCTCCCAAACCCCACAGCCTTGTAAGTCACTAGGCCCACAGTCCCTCCTGGTTTCTTCTAGGCTGCTATCATCCCTGCTCAGGGACACAGCCCCTGCTGACTGCTCAGACGGCCCTTTGTCTCTGGCTAGCCTAGTCTACAGCCCATTGTTGGTCCTGTGAAGACAGCCTCTGTGTGCCCAGCCCGGTGGCAGGCACTCAGTAGGCATTCCTAGGACCCAGGCTGAGCACAGAAAGCATGGCCACTCAGCCCCCAGGGGAGGAGTGCTGGCAAGCAGGGCCACCTCAGTGCCAGCCTGGCACCACCAGCCTCCCAGACACAAACCTGAGCCTCAGGGAAACCCCACCCCCACAGCTCACCCATTTGCCCGCTCAGTTCAGCTTCCATACCCGCTCTGATTGAAGGCCTTGAATCTCTGACCCCCTCTCCCTACCTCTGGGTTCACCTCCCTGGCCACCCTCCTCCCAAAGCCCTCCCTTTACCCCTCCCCAGCTGGCCTATGAGGATAATAGGCTTGGGTCTACAGGAGCCGACTGCAGCCTGGCTTACCATGAGGATGTCTGCCGTGATGGCCCAATTGGAAAACAGCAGGGTCTCCCCAATGAAGATACAGATCTACCAGGAGAAAAGAGAGAGACCATCAGGCAGAGAGCCCCCAAAACCTCCTCCACCTCTCCAGAAGGCCCATCCTCTCATCTCAGGCACATGAGGAACCAGTGCATTATTCAGTGACTTCAGGCCGTGCCCATAGCCCTGAAGGGTGACCCAAGCCCCTCCTTGGAGTGGTAGGGCTGGCTGTGACTCCTGTGCTGACCTTTCACAGGCCCTGATTGGGGCAGGGGCAGCAGCTAGAGGTCTGGCAAGTCAGACTGTATTTCCAGCCCAGCTCCCCTCAGCCCCCTACTGCCCGCCCCCCACACTACTCACATAGGCGCCCACAATGCTGCTCTTGGCAGCCACAAAGATGAGGCAGATGAAGATGGAGGAGCCCAGCATGCCCACAGCACACACCAGCGGGTCGGCCCTCTGGGTCCTCAGGCGGCACCAGCGTGTGGCCCCTGCACCCGTGACCACACCCAGGAAGCCAGTAAAGCAGGTGATGGCCCCAAAGATGAGGCTGTGGGGTCAGAGAACAGCAGGGCGTGAGTAGGGGAGGGCCACGGCGACGTCAGAGGTGCTCCCATGCCAGGTCCTATGCTCCCCGGGGCCCAGCTCTCCAGGCTGCACCTGTCCTTGGCCCCACACGGTGGGCTGTTGCACATCTCTGCTGTCTTCTGCACAACTTGGGCACGGTGCAGGTAGAGTGGGATCCACATGCCCAGGGCTCCTGTGGCGAAGGACACGGCTGATGTGGCCAGGGAGGAGAAGACATAGCTGCGACTGAGAAGAAGCCAGGGCAGGACACTGAGCTAGGGCAGGACCTCTTTTTAATTTTTTTTTTTTTGGTGCCAGTACTGGGGCTTGAACTCTGGACCTGGGACTCTTAGCGTTATCACTCAACACTGGCCCTCTACCATTTAGCCACGGCTCCACTTCTGGACTTCATTATTGATGATTTTTTTTTGGGGGGGTCCGGTCCTGGGGCCTGAACTCTGGGCCTGGGCGCTGTCCCTCAACTCTTCAGCTCAAGGCGAGCGCTCTACTACTTGAGCCACAGCTCCACTTCCGGCTTTTTTTTTGCTTATGTGGTGCTGAGGAATCGAACCCAGGGCCTCATGCATGCGAGGCAAGCGCTCTACCACTGAGCCACCTTCCCAGCCCTGGACTTCATTATTGGTGGTGTTCTTGTTATTGCTAAGTAGTTGTACAAACAGGCTACAATGCCATAAGTTAGAGTACAACGCATCTTGGTCAACGTCACCCCTTCCACTTCCAGAGTTTTACTGGTTAATTGGCGATAAAAGAGTCTCAAAGACTTTTCTGCCTGGGTTGGCTTTGAACTACAATCCTCAGATCTAAACCTCCTGAATAGCTAGGATTACACGGGTGGGCCATGGGCACCTGGCTTAGGCAGGACCGCTTTGATGGCAGGTGGTCCTGGGAGAGCCCCTTTTCCCCAGACTGCTGTCTCACCCTTTCTCCTTGCAGAAGACCTAAATGGCTCCCTCACAGGCTCAGTGTAAAGGTTCAGACTACAGGCGTCATAAACACTAATGGACAAAACACCACTCTCAACCCTGCAGGCAGCCGAGAGGGCAGTGGGTTCATGGGAAGGTACAGGTGGGCTCTCCTGAAGGCAGAACCCTCTCATCACAGCACCAGACTCCTCCCACCAAGGCTTACTTTCTGATCAAAGCCTTCATGTCTCGGAGCCATGAGGTCCGTGCCTTGAGCTGCCCTCCAAGCTGGTCTGCGTGGCCTCTCTTAGTGACTGGGACCAGGATGAGGATGAGTGTTCCTGTGATCATGCCCAGGACAGGAGACACCTGGCAGGGAGGGAAACATGAAGACAGGACACACCAAATTGGCTCTGTCTTGGCTGCACCAGGAGGCACTCAGGCAGGCCGCACCTTCTCTGGGGTCTGGGAACCAACCTTCCTCGGGGATAAAATCTGCCTTCTTGACAGGGCTACTGAGCAAAGCCACTGGGATGAGTTCAGTAAAGGGTTGGAGATTCAAAGTGGACTTTCCAGATAGGGGAAGGGGGTACAAAGGAGACTAACAAACTGAAAGAAGGGAGGGAAGGAAGGAGGAGGGAAGGAAGAGAAGGATGAATGGGTAGGTGGATGGAAGAGGGAGAAGAGAGGGCTGAACAGATAGTGGAGAATAATTGGAAGGACAGACAGATGGGTGGAAGGAAAACTGATAGATCTGTGGTTATATGGGTGGGTGGGTGGGTGGGTGGGTGGGTGGGTACGTGGATGGAAGATGGATGATAGATGGTAGAGCAAGATAGATAGATGAAAGGCAGGGAACAAAGCCATGACTGTGACTTTCTGGACATAAGGAGTCAGTCCAACCCTTGGGACTAGAAATGTTCCCTGGTGGGTTTCTTGCCTATAGGGTCCTGGAACTTGTACCTGATAGGTCAAGAAGGCCAGCCCTTGGTAAGGGCCTCTTTGGATCTTCTCTGAGTCTGGCCTCATGACAATAACAGACTCTCCAAGGATTCAGGCCTCTCTCCAGTCTTGGCAGGCTGGATTCCAGCATACTAGCCCATAACAAAGAGAATCTACCCTCTCCCTGCTACACTGCCTGTCCCCCCCCACCCAGGGACTCCAAGCCTGGGGAGTTCCTTGCATGCTACTCCCTCTAGCCCCCCACCAAGAAATTCCACAGAGGTGCTTCCTTCCTGCTTTTGAGGAAAAAACACTTTGTCTTAAGCTTCCGCTCCTCAGAGAGACTGGGGATCTCTGTTTCCTCTGATTGCACTGTCCTAGAGCTGTGCTAACTTGCCCCAACTCTCTGGCAGGTCAGGAAGTGGCTCCAGACCCCAAGGGCCTCAACACAGAGGTCTGGTCCCAGCCCACGGCTTACACAGAGCCAAGGCTGGAAGCAGGAAGCTGTGCTGTGGCCCTGGAATTTCCTGACATAGTGAGAGAATCCCGTCCTCTCAACCTGGGATTCCTGGGGGAGGTTCCAGCCCTGGAACTGTGGCCCAAGGGTGTGGGGCTGTCTGAGCTGCAACATCTCAGTTTAAACTGGTCTAGAAGGACAAGGCCTCAGAGCCCAGGCTGTCAAGGGAGGTCAAGGCCTGATCCCCAGCTGGGTTTGGGCTGGGTGAGACCCTCTGGGAAAGCCTGGGGAAAGGATTGGACTGGGGGACCTTATAGGAGGGGACCTAGGCCTTACCCGCAGAGCCCAGTGCCAGTCTCCAGCTGCCTGCTTCACACTGGAGCCTGTAATATACCCCAGGCCACTGCAGAGAAGATGGACACACATCAGCTCAAGCAGAGCAGAGAAGGTGTGGGAGGGGAAGTGCCCATGGACTAGGCAGGCCACCTGCCCCCTTCCCCACCCTCATTCCCCCCCCTCCCCGCCCCAGCCAGAGTGGTCTGGGAGTTCTCCAAGGCTGATCTCCGCCCCTGCCCCTCTGCCCTGTGTGTCTGATTAATGAATTCCCACTCACCTGCCCAGCGGGATGGCAAAGTAGAAGACAGACAGCATAAGTGTGCGTGTGTTCTTGGTGAAGAGGTCGCCGATGATCGTGGGTGCGATGGTGGAATAGCTGGCCTCACCGATGCCCACCAGCCCCCGGGACAGGACCAGCAGCCAGAAATACTGTGGGGCCAGGGGACAATGCTAAGGCGCCTCCCTACCCTCCAGCTTGCTCACTCTTGTCCCCATTTTGTCCCTATGGAGTCCAGATGGAGCTCAGGCCTGACGTCAGCATGTCCACAGAGCCTGGTCATGCGGGGCTTCAGAGTATCCCTCTGTAGGGTGGGTCTGACAGGGCTGGAATTCCCCAGCAGTATGAGCCAAACCATCCTCTCAATCCCTATAGCACAGAGATGGAAGTCCACAGAGCCAAGTCCACCTGCTCCCGGCCCTACCTCAAGAGCTACAAGGCATACTCATTCTGTGTCCCTCCTTCAAGTAGGATTGCTGGTAAGCCTGGCAGCCCAGGGTGGGAAGTGGGCAGGATGGCCCTGTGGCTCAGAGTCTGTCCCCCATGGGCACAGCAAGGACAAAGCCAGCTGAGCAGTAGGGAGGTGTGGTGCTGTGCCAGCTGTTGGTGGTCCTCCCCTTTGATGTGGACCTGCCCCATCAGGCCCTCCAGCTGCCCAGGGCCTGAGAACACAGCCTGGCCATCATTCCCCAGCCCCACCCTGACCAACCATCCGGCCAAGCGTCACCCACATCTAGTCCTCCTCAGGGTGTCCCCATGCCCTCTCTCTAGTTGCCCATCTAGCTGCTAGCTGGCTCTTTGGTGGCAGCGCTGGCCTTCCATCTTGACCCCTCTTGCCCTCCCTGGCTCCTGAAGTGTTTCTTTTCCTGGGGAATCTTCTGCCTACAGCCACTGCCTATTGTTCTGTTTGGTTGTCTTTTTTGTACTGGATTATATTTGCTTTCTCTACAGTTCAGCGGTGGAGCCTTTGTTATTTGAAGCACTGGTATTTTCTGTCATTTTTCTACTTTGTTTTTGGAGGCTTTTACCATTCACAAGCTTCCTGATGGTTTGAATTTGATGCTGTCAAATCTGTTCATTTTGAGCCAGGTGTGATGAGTGCTCACACCTGTAGTCCTAGCTACTCAGGCAGTTGAGATCTGAGGATCCCAGTTCAAAGCCACTGTGTGGGGGTGGGGGTGGGTGGCGGGAGAGTCTTGTACTCAATTAACTTCCAGCAAAAATCTGGAAAAGGTAAATTGCTAGATATGAATGAAAAAGCTAAGGGAGACTCAAGAAAACATAACTGTTCATTTCCCCCTAATATCTTGTTCAAGAAGGCCTACTCCATTCCTGGAGTATTCTATTTTATTATTTTTTGTCTTTTCTTTTTTGGTACTGGGGATTGAACCCAGGACGTTGCACTTGCTAGGCAAGCGTTTTGCCACTGAGCTACATCCCAGCCCATCTATTTTATTTTTTTAGAAAGAATGCGAGAGATGCAGCAATCATTCTCAGCACCAGCAGGCAGAAGGTCTTCTCTGTTCCCACTCCTCCCATAGCGCCCCACCCCCTCCAGTCTACCGTAGACTTATCACAGCACCATCTCTGCTTAGTGTCATAGATAATGCTTAGTGTCTTTGGTGTGTAGGTGCTGGCACTCGGCCTTGAACTCAGGGCCTAGGTGCTGTCCCTTAGCCTTTTCACTCAAAGCTGACAGTATACTACTTGAGCCACACACCTCTACTTCTGAGTTTTTGGGGTTAAGTGGAGATAAGACTCTCATGGGCTTTCCTGCTCATGTTGGCTTGAGCTGCAATCCTCAGATTTCAGCCTCCTGAGTAGTTAGGATGATAGGCATAAGCCACTACTAGCGCCTGACTTGTTTAATGTCTTCTGTGTGCTTGGATCAAATGAACAGAAGAGGGACCAACTCATGCTCTTATCCTTGCTTTTTCCTCCTTCTTATGAGACTCATTCATGAGTGCTAGGTAGTGCAGCTCTCATCATTCTTCTGCTATCCAGCATCTCTCAGTATGAACAACACTCCATTTCTCTGCATGGGCCCTGTGGCGGTCATTTGATTGTCCCTCTTTTTCCTAGCACTGTCTTGCAGTGAGCATCTTTGTCCACAGACAACCACAAGCTGGAGTTTCTCTCTTGGCTGTATTCCTGCAAGTGGAAGGCTAGGCCGTGCGGGACACAATGAGAATTTTACAGTTTCTTGCCATTCTGCTCTCCAGAGGAGTCTAGTAATTTACACTCCCCACAGCAGCCCAGTCAGGGATTCTCCACAGCTGTACTAACACTTGTATTGTCGGCCTTTTTAATTGTTGCCAATCTGATGGGTGTGAAATGGTATCTCATTGTTGTTTTAATTTGCATTTCCCTGATTACTAGAGAGGCTGAGCCATCACTTCCTACATTTATTGGCCATTTGGGTATCTTCTGCAATAGCCTGTAACTATCCTTGACTCATTTTTTCCCCACCAGCTTATTTGTCTTTTTCTTGTTGATTTATAGTTTTGGATTTCCAGAGCTTGCTTTCCCTTTCCTTTCCTCTTTCTCTGGAGTTCAATCTGCAGAGAATACAGATCAAACTTATTTTCTTTGTAGTTGTTGTTGTGTTATGTGCAGGTCTTACGGCCTTGAACTACTCACTTGGCTTTTATGCTCAAGGCTGGCATTCTACCACTCAAGCCACACATCTACTTCTGGCTTTTTGCTGGTTAACTGGAGCTGAGTCTCACAAACTTTTCTGCTTTGTCTGGCTTTGAACCTCAATCTTTTTTTTGTCATGGGTTTAAACTCTTGGCCAAGGTACTATCCCTGAGCTCTTCAGCTCAAGATGAGTGCTCTACCACTTGAGCCATAGCATGCCACTTTCAGTTTTCTGGTGGTTAATTGGAGATAAGAGTGTCATGGACTTTCCTACCCAGGCTGGCTTTGAACCACAATCCTCAGATCTCAGCCTCCTGAGTAGCTAGGATTACAGGTATGAACCACCGGTGCCCAGCTCAATCTTCATTTTTTAGCCCACTTAAATAACTGGGATTATACATATAAGCCACCAGCACCCAGCCCAAAATTATTCTCTAGCCAGATGGGTGATTCATGTTCTCTCTGAAGCACTGTTTCAGGTGCAACTTTCACCCTCCATAGTTCCCAGTAGACACCAGGACTCAACTGCATATATCTGTTAGTCTAGCCCTTGGCAGCATTCATTAGAACAGCTGTTGTTTTGAGGGGAAGGCAATGGAAAGTGTGCATGAGAGTGAATATAGTCCAAGTACTTGATCTGCTACATGAAAACAGAAATAAAACCTGTTGAAATCATCTTCTTGGGAGGAAGATAAAGAGATGAAGGGGGCTAGGTTGATGAGGCACATTATATGTATATGTGGAAACATCACAATGAAATCCCCTTGTACAACTAATGTATGCTAATAAAAGGGGGGGAAGAGAGAAAGAATAGCAGTTATTTTGATAACTGATAGGAAAGCCCTCCCCCTTCATTGTTTTTCACATTGTTCTTGGCTGTTCCTGAGCTTTTTCTCTGCCAGATTAACTTCAGAATCCCATTGCCAAGGTCCACCAACAATCCCTATGGGACTCAGACCGATAGCAATGAATTCACAGAAGAACTGGGAGTAATCTGATTCTCTCTCTGCCTCTGCTCCTCTGCTCTCCCCAACTTAGCCCATAGGGGCAAAGCCTGGTATCACAGCCCTGGATCCATGGTCAGCCCCGGAGCAGCTTCCAGGCCAAGGCCAAGGCCAGGACAAGGTCCAGGGTTGCCTACCAGCTTCTAGCTCAGGCTTTTACTGTGGCCACTAGGCTCCACCTGGCACTGGGCCTGGATCTGTCTTGGGTCTGACACTCCACCATCCCCCTGCCATGAAGCAAAGCTGTTCCCTGTGAAACTGCCAGTTCTCTCTGCCTTCCCTTCCATCAGCATATCTGATCCTGCCATCCTTCTTCAAATTCTTCCAGAGCTCAGCTCTGACCCAGAAAGAAATCCTCACTTCTATTTTTTTTTTTTTTTTAGGTCCGCTCGTAGGGCCTGAACTCTGGGCCTGGGCGCTGTCCCTCAGCTATTCAGCTCAAGGCTAGTGCTCTACCACTTGAGCCACAGCGCCACTTCTGGGTTTTTTCTTTTTGCTTATGTGGTGCTGAGGAATTGAACCCAGGGTCTCAGGCATGCAAGGCAAGCACTCTACCACTGAGCCATCTTCCCAGCCCCCCTCACTTCTAATCTAGTACTTGAGGCCCTCTGTGACCTGGTCCCTGCCTTTCCTCTGGCCACAGCATCCTCACCTCACTCCCAGCACTCTTCACGCCTCCCTTCCTTCTTTCATCTCTTTCTCTAATAGCTGTCATGTGATTTTCTACCTCTGCTTGAACATTCCCAGCTATGGGAAGCTCACTACCCTCACAAGGCAATGTAGCTCCTCTTTGAAAGAAAAAAACTGGAAGGGAAGATTTGGTGAACACCTGTCATGATCCGGGATGTGAATATTTACTAGCTCAGCTGCTTCTCACAGGAGCGCTTCAAGCCTGAGAAGTTTGTCCCCATTTCCATTTCCATTTCTCTGTGTGTGTGTGTGTGTGTGTGTGTGTGTGTGTGTGTGTGTGTGTGTGTGTGTGTGTGTTAGTCCTGGGGCTTGAACACAGGGCCAGGGCACGTGTGTGTGTGTGTGTGTGTGTGTGTGTGTGTGTGTGTGCGCGCGCGCTAGTCCTGAGGCTTGAACACAGGGTCAGGACACTGTTCCTGAAGTTTTGCACTCAAGGCTACACTTCTACCACTTAAGCCACAGCTTCACTTCTGGCTTTTTGATGGTTAATTGGAGAAGAGACTCATGGACTTTTTTGGCATAGCTAGCTTTGAACAATGATCCTCAGGTATCAGCCTCCTGAGTAGCTAGGATCATAGGCGTGAGCCCCTGGTGTCCAGCTTATTCCGAGTTACATTGATGAGGAAAGCCAAGTGCTGGTGGCTCATGCCTGTGATCCTAGCTACTCAGAAGGCTGAGATCTGAGAATTGTTGCTCAAATCAGCCTGTGAAGAAAAGTCCATGAGACTCATCTCCAATTAACCAGCAAAAAGCCAGAAGTAGAAGTATGACTCCATCAGTAGAACACCAGCCTTGAGTATAAAATGCCAAGCAAGAGTGCAAGACCCTAAGTTCAAGCCCCAATACTGGTGTGCAGGTATGCACACGTGCGCGCGCACACACACACACAAAAGATAGGCTCATAGAGTTGGAATAGATGTCCCCAGGTCACAAGGCTGAACGGCCAACAAAGTGGGATGTTTAAGTCCAGGACTGCCAGAAGTGAGGGTGAAACACCTTTTTTTTTTTTTTAATAACAAACATTTATTCAGAAATGGAAAGTGATGCAGTCAAGTCCGTATCTTAATGCCTTTTCCTCTCTTCAACATGAGACACAGTAGGGGAGTGGGGGAGGAGGGCACAGCGCTGCCCACCACCCTCTCCTGTTCCCCAAGAAGACAGCTGTGAAACACCTTTATATTGAGCTGACACTTGCCTTCCTGAGTCTTGTATGCTGCTTACCAAAGAGCAAACTCAGCCAGGTACCAGTGGCTCATGCCTATTATCCTGGCTACTTGGGAGGCTGAGAATGGGAGAATCATAGTTTAAAGCTAACCTAGGCTGAATCTTTGAGATTCTCATCTTAATGGAAGAATCTGTGTGTGTTGGCACATGCTCATCATCCAAGCTATCATCAGAAGTCTAATATAGGTAGATCATGGTCCGGTATGTGCTGGAGCAGGAAGCAAGACCCTATCTTAAAATGACCAGCACAAAAAGGACTGGAGACATGGTTCCTGGGTGGCACTTGGGGTTGTGAGGCCTCGAGCAGGGTCAGTGTGGAGAGGCTCTATATCTGCAGGATTGAATTAACAATACATGGCAGAGGTCCCACTGCTTGCACTGGGGAGGCACTGCTAGGTTTCAAGCTATGGAGCCAAAATCTTCCACCTAGAACATGGACCCGCTACCTATCTGATAGGCAAGGAACAGGGATGGGTGTGGGGTAGCAGGGACTCAGGCCTTACCTGCTGAGGGATGAAGGAGCTAGAGAAGGTGACTGCCGACCAGAAGAAAATGCCGCAGCTGAGGATCACCTTCCTGTTGAAGCGGTCACCCAGGTAGCCAAAGATAGGAGCGGCCACCATGAAGCTGCAGATGAACACTGTGCAGAAAGAGGAGAGCTAGAAGGAGGCCCAGGGTTCTTCGGGCCAGGCCTACCCACCCATACTGACTTGATCCAAGTACCCATGGGAGAAAGCCAGTCCTGAAGCGGGGGCTGAGGACACAGACCAGGGAAGGCAGCCTCAGTGGGCTGTGCCCAAGAGAGGGGCACAACTGGCTTAGGGTTGGTGGTGGGGAGAGTGATTCCATCCCTTTGGTGCCTGTTCAGCTTGTTTGCTGATGGTGAACCCCCAAACATCAAGAGCAATGGCAGAGCCCACTGTAGTATCCTGAGTAGCTTCTCACCCGTCATGTCCCTCAGAGATGAAGAGACACTCAGAGAGCACAAGTGACTGGTAAGCACTGAAGGCGATAATTTGTCCATTGGACAACAGAGCCTCTGCTCCTTATGTTTTGTCACGTGGCTCTCTTTGCACCCTGAGGTAAATCTCTTGCCCTCAAGGAACTTCAGCAAATCAGGGCAGAATCACAACAGAGGCCACAGAGGCTTTCCTGATGGTTAAACTTATTCATTCACTCCTTCAGTCTGTCACTCAGCCATGCATTTGTTCATTCATTCACTCATACATTTGTCATCCATCCACTCAACAAATGACAATGATAAAATCTGATGATGAAATATATCACTGAACTAAACAGACAAAATTTCTTCATTCTCAGAGCTATCAATCAAGTGAGGAGAAACAGACCATAAACAAATAACATAAAAACATAGCATATGGGACTGGGAAGGTGGCTCAGTGGTAGAGTGCTTGCCTTGCATGCATGAAGCCCTGGGTTCGATTCCTCAGCACCACATAAGCAGAAAAAGTCAGAAGTGGTGCTGTGGCTGAAGTGGTAGAGCACTAGCCTTGAGCTGAAGAGCTGAGGGAAGTATCCAGGCCCAGAGTTCAGGCTCCATGACCGCCAGTAAATAAATAAATAAATGAAAACATAGCATATGTTGGTGACATATAGAGAGAGGCAATAAGTGCTAAGGAGAAAAAAATGGCAGAACCAGAAGCGATACAAAATTGTGTGTGCGTGCATGCATGCATAAGAGGGAGAGCATACAGATGTTACAATTTTACATAAAAGAGTCAGAGTGACATTTCAGCAAAGACCAGAAGAAAGTAAGGAAACAAATTATTCTGATATGAATATCAGGCAAGAAGAGCAAGTGCAGAGGCCATGAGGCAGGCATGTACTTAGCATACTTGAGGAACAACAAGGCAGCCAACATGGTTGAAGCAGTGGAACTAAGGAAAAGTTGTGTGTGATTTGGTTGTGGGGTGAGGGGTGGGACCTTGGGGCCCCCTGTGACTGGCCTGGCTGCCGAGGAATGGGGTAAAAGGTTGCCATGCAAAGGAGTGGCATGACCTGGTTTTGTTCTTCCAGAACCAGAGAGCAGTAGGTTTTAGAGAACTTCATAGGAGGCCTCTGTCAGTGCGGGGCAAGTTTTAGGGCCCCAGGTGCGATTAAAGACCCTCAATCACACAGCGGGGCACACCCCTTCCTCCAATTACAGTTCCACAGCTGACACAAGCAGTCAAAGGCCAGGTGAGTAGACAAGCCACCAGTCACAGGCCTTTGATGGCCAGGCCACACAGGTGTGTGGCTCAGCAGCCCTCCTATTCCTTTGTTTTTGTACTGGGACTTTTTCTCAAGACTTCACTCTGTCCCTTAGCTTTTATACTCAAGGCTGGTGCTCTACCACTTGAACCGCTTCTAACTTTTGCTAGTTAATTGGAGAAAAGAATCACCTTGGTTCTTAGATCTCAGCCCCCTGAGTAGCTAGGATTACAGGCATGAGCCACCAGTGCTGGGCTTTCCTTTACCTGAGAAAGCTGAGAAGCTGGAGGAAGGGAAGGAGAGAGGGAGGCAAATGGGCAGGAAAGGGCTAGGCAGACCCCCGGGATGAGGGTGCAGGAATGTGACCGTCTCTCTGTTATCCTCACACAAGTGTGTCGAGAGGAATGGCATATGTGACTTGGGCCCTTAGGAAGAATCAGCATAGAGATGTACCAATGGGCTTCAGAGATCCTCTTGCCTAGGCTCAAACCCAGCTCTGTGACCTTCATCGAGTAAAAATCTCGGTATGGCTCAGATTCAGTGGTATGGTGACAAATGAGTAACAACAGGCTCTCTGGAAAAGGGGCAGAGGCTGGCATTTGCCCATCTCCTTGGCACAACCACGCCTACCATGATGACAGCCAATCATCAACTAGAAGGTGCTGACAGTGGGGAAGAGAGTTTCTACCATTAAGATAAAATAACCAAAGCCGGGTGCCGGTGGCTCAGGTCTGTCATCCTAGCTACTCAGGAGGCTGAGAGCTACGGATCATGGTTCAAAGCCAGGCCGGGCAGAAAGTCCATGAGACTCTTATCTCCAATTAATCACCAGAAAACTGGAAGTGGTGTTGTGGCTCTAGAGTGCCTTGAGCTGAAGAGCTGAGGGACAGCCCCCAGGCCCAGAGTTCAAGCCTCATGACTGACCAAAAAAAAAAAAAAAAGATAAAATAACCAATTAACCTTAAGAACATAGATAATCACTAAACATGGAGAAATAACTAGGAAGAGATCATTCTTGGGTATTCATCACCATTTTTAAATGTCAGTCATTAATTATAAGTTTACATAATTTCATTTTGAACAATGGTTGTATCTAGCAAGCAGCTCACACAATTCATGAAACCCTTAACAATTGACTCTCACGAACCAGCGTGAGCCAGTGCCAGCTCACCAACTTCCTCATCTTAAAATGAAAAGATAAAAATAGTAGCTCCCCTGGGTGGCTCTCAGTGCCAGATGAGCTGTTTCGGGGGAAGGCACTTTATGCCAGGCCCTGCCCTAGAGCAGTCAGCCTGGTCAACACTGGGCCTTTGTTTACATTAGCCAAGGCAGATATTATTTCCTCACATCTAGAAACAGAATGTTTTCCTGTTGGACCTGCCTCCCAGGCCAGTCCTGGGAGATCAGGTCAGGATATGGGCAGGACTTACATATGCTAGAGGAAGAGGGCAGATTGTTTTCTCCGTCTCCATGGTATGTGGGGAGTGGACAGAAAGAGTCAGGAGATGGTCCCTGCCTGGCAAAGCAGCAGTTCCATCCACAGGTTGCCCAACTGAAAGGGCTGAAAGGCTGGGGAACTGGCATGGCACACTGACCAAATCCTGCCAGGATGGTAAAGGGAGATTCCCCAGGGGTGGCGATGGCAAAGCTGAGGGCAGAAGTTTACCATGCCGATAACTTTTTGTATGAGTTTATCACATACAGTTTTGAGTCAGTGCAACCAAAAATAATAAATTTTTAAAAATCCAAAGAAATGTCAAAACAAAACACTTAAATTCCTGCGCGTGAATTACACAGTTTCAGTTGCTATAGAGAAATCCTTGTCAGCTTTGTTTGCATCGTTGTATTATCTGCTGAGTAGTTCTCTCCTTAATTTTGTGAAAATCTGCCTCTCAAAAGGTAGGGCTGGGGCAGGGCTCAATAGTCGAACACCTGCCATAATTGCCAGAGCGTGAGTAACACACACACACACCCCACACACACGCATGCACACACACCACAAAAGTAAATGCACCCCAAAAGCAAGGTGGAAGGCTATGATAATCAACTTATTGTGCTCATCTTATTGAAATACTTATTGGAACAAAAAGCAGAATATTTTGCTGGAATCTAGAACCAAAACTAAAGCCAAGGAGAACAAAGCACCAGTAGCTTATACCTGTAAACCCTAGATACTCAGAAGGCTGAAACCTGAGGATCAGAGTTCAAAGCCAGTCCAGGCAGGACAGTCCCATGAAGAGGCTCTATCCCCAGCCACCAAAACCCTTGAAGTACAGAGGTAGCTCAAGTGGTAGAACCTTAACCTTGAGTAGAAAAAGCTAAGGGATGTGGTTCAAGCTCTAGGAGTGGCACAAAAAATTTTATGATAATCCTCCCAAGCCATAAAATACACATAATATACGTGACAAAGTGAAAATCTGAGATTTATTGAAAGAATGCATATCTTTTATTTATACTTATTTTTGCTGGAGCTAGAACTCAGGTTCTGAATTCAGATCGCAGTCCAAAAAGTCACATTGAAAAAATTTGTTCCATTCTTTTTCCTTCCTTCCTTCCATCATTCCTTCCTTCCTTCCTTCGTTCTTTGTGCTAGTTCTGGGGTTTGAAGTGAGGGCCTCAAGCTCTCTTTTGGCTTTTTCACTCAAGGCTGGTACTCTATCACTTGAGCCACACCTCCACTTCCAGCTTTTTTGCTAGTTAATTGGAGATAAGATTCTCTTGGGTTTGTCTGCCTGGGCTAGCTTTGAACCAAGGTTCTCAGATCTCAGCTTCCTGAGTAGACAAGATTACGGACGTGAGCCACCAGCACCTAGCAAGATGCATATTTTAAGTGGAATTGGGTGGCATTTTGGGGGAAAATAAATCAAGCTTCTACAGAACAGTATTGAGCTCCATGCCTCTACGCATGCCTGGTCTCAGCAGTGGTCTCCCTGGACCCATATATCCATCAGTTCAGTACCAGGGGTCTTCTGTCTGTAAAATCAATAACACATACTAAAATATAAACTTGAAACCTTAAGTGCTGATGTACAATGGTTAATGAGACCTAATACCTATTGCTAAATCCAGCTGCCATGGTTGGATCATTTATTGTAGGGCAGGCCCAGGGGTGCACTTGTGTACCCTTCACATAGCCAGTGTTTAACTCAGTTGATGTCATATTATCTTCATCTATCAGAGGAGACAATAGAGGCTGGAGGAAATGATATCACACAGCAAGTGTGTGGCTGAACTTCACCCCCCACTTCAGCTGACTCCAGAGTCTTTGCTCTAAATCATAGCACAGGTTGCAAAGCTGGGAAGGGGAAAGGTCCCAGTCAATGTTCTCACAGTCCATGGGGGGCTGGGCCAAGCAAAGAGATGGGAGGGATAGTGGCATGAGAAGGCCACAAAGGGAGACTGGACTCTAAGGACCAGAGGTCCTTATGT